TCAAAAGAGTCATATTTTAACAAATTAAATGTTTATCCAATACTTTCTATGTGCCACATACTGCTTCAGGTGTGGGGTCTGAGTGTGAGCAGAGCCCCTGCCTTTGTGAAATCATACTGGAGTAGGGTGGGTCCTAATCCTAATCCCTCCTGAGGGGTGTCTTATAAAAGGGGACATGGGCACAGAGTCACACACACAGGGGAAGACAGCCTGTGAGGGTCCCTCTACAAGCCTAGGAACGCCAAGAAACATTGGGGGCTACAGAAGCTGGAAGAGACAAGATCTTCCCCTAGAGCCTACAGAGAGAGCAGGACCCTGATGTTGTTCTAAATTTCAACTTCTAGCCTATAGAACTGTGAGAAAACAAAATTTTGTTCTTTAAAGCCACCCACTTTGTGGTATTTTGTTATGGCAGCCCTAGGAGACTAAGACAGCACCAAACCACAGAGAATGTACTGCATCTATTATACAGAAAATGGTATGTCCACTCCCAAACAATGAAATTCTGGAAGTTCAGCAATATTTATTTTAATCTATATAAAAGAATGATTTTTGGTTCAAGAGTAAAATTATAAGACACTGTATTTGTTAAGAGTTAGTTACCTGGATTCCAAGAAAATTGTTCCATGTTTCTTAGACACACTATTAGCAAAAGCACATAATTTGTGAATCGCTCCTTAATATCTGGAAAAAAAATTACATATAAATACTATAGTGCCTTCATAATAGTTCTTTCTTTTCATCAGAACATGATGAAATTATTACACTGTGTATAAAATGACTGTAAAATAAATATACTATTATACATATAAGATAGTGCTACATTGGTAAGTCATTGACTTCTTTTGTCAAATTAATTCTGGTACGGAAATTCCAGTTTTCTACAAATTTCAAAAAACAGTCAAATCATTAGTCTGCTCAGACTGGCTCAATGGATTCTCCCAGAGACCTCTGGAGAAATAGGGTAACTATTTTCATTGTATGGAAGGAAAAATAGAAGCGAAGAGTAAAATATAAGAAGGGTTAGAAACAAGTACATTTCTTTGTCTAATTTGTTTATGGAAATAGGAAGTCCAAAGGATTTATCTCACATGTAGATGCAGCTTTGCAAATAATTGTACAGAAATGCAATTAAAGATACACTGACAAATTCAGTTCCCATCAATTAAATTCCACGGTTAACTACAGATAAGCAACCAAGGAGGAGCCCTGGTAACATAATGATTAAGAGCTAGGCTGCTAGCCAGAAGGCTGG